CCCTCCAGCACACAGCTGACCCTCCAGCACACAGCTGACCCTCCAGCACACAGCTGTCCCTCCAGCACACAGCTGACCCTCCAGTGGATTTTCAGCAGCTGGTGAATCTGAACCACGTGCTTTCGGTATTGCAGCGCAGTTTATTACCACTAGGTCACCAGAGCTCCATAAGGCTACCTAAAATTAAAGGTCCTAAATTTGCTTCGAAGTTACGTTCTAATATTTAGAACAAGCACTTGAGACTTAGGAGGCTCTGGTAGCGTAGGCTATGGGGAGCTGCACTGCTACTCTAGTGGTTCACATACACCAGCAGCTCTCCAAGAAAAAGATGGGCAATCGCCTCTCTTGAGATTTACAGTCTCCCAACCCCACTCCCCCCCCACCCCCGCCGAGGGTCAGCTATGAATCTGTTAGACTTGAAAGCAACGAGCTTGAGGGGTTTTTTAAATTTTTTTTAATTTTATTATTTTTTGTGTGCGTGTACCGTCAAATCAGATCTGACTGGTACAGGAGGAGATTGCCCCTCCTTCCCCGGCAGAGCATCTGGTGGATTCGAACCGTGCACCTCTGGGATTGTAGTTGCAGCTTCTTGCCACTAGGCCACCAGAGCTCCCCTAGAGCTTGAGTTTTTGAGGCTTGGAAATTTGTACCAGTAATGGAACTAGTGCTCATTGGTCTGTATAAGGAAGGCATTGATTTTTAGGTAAGGAAGGAATGCTACTTTGTCCTGCATGGCTCACCAAGGATAGAGTAGCAGCTCTTGTAGAGTGAATTTCTATGAAATAGTGTCATTCTTAGCAACTTAATGACACTCCAGAACTGGTATCTGTCTTGAAAGAATAGCTGAATTGCCTTCTGAGTCTAATGTAGCTGAAATAAAGTACATCTTTAACAAAGACTATCAGAGCAGCTGAAGCAAGTGGTGGAAAGAACAGAGACAAGAATCTTGTTTCTGCCATTGTTAGCCAAATCCAGCAAATCCAGTTGTGGGTGAAATTAAAAAACCAAAAAAATCTTGTTTCTATTCTGAACCCTATCCAAATCCCAAATCCATATCAAAAGAGAGTCATCTGGCATTGTGTAGTGCATGACTAAGATCAGAATTTCAGATTCAGGGAGTTACAGTGCCCTTTGGCTTTGAGAAACATACATGTATGCCTATATTATGCATGTGTGTGCAGGAGAGTATTATGAGTATGTGTGTGTATATATATGTATGTATGTATGTATGTATGTATGTATGTATATATATAATACTTATGTACACACATCCACCACCTTCCAGGCAAGTCTGCCTCTTGGCACTTTTCCATCACATTTCTGAAGCTATAAATCTTCACAGGAAGAGACTGTTCATCTTTCTTACTCAGAGCGGCTGGTGGATTTGAACTGCCAATTTTATGGTTAGCAGATCAACATTTACACTCTGCACCATCAGAGCTTGCGCTCAACTCCCTTGCATGCCCAGAGGTATGTGGTTTGAATCCATCAGCTGCTCTGCTGGAGAAGGGGGGGGGGCAATCTCCTCCTGTACCAGTCAGATCTGATTTGACGGTACACACACACAAAATAATAAAATTAAAAAAAAAAAAAGAGTTCAACTCACATGCATGCTTGGAGTATGCTCAAGTTCCCAGCTGATCTCACACTGTCCTCTTTCCTCCCTTTCTCTCTCCCCACACACCTGCCTACTCACACATGGTATTATGCATTATGTATCTCTCCAAAGGGTTCACTCTGTCCCTTTTGGGGGGCTGTTGGTCTTTAAATACACCCTTACATATATTCATGGTACGTGGCACCGTGGATGAAGTATCGGGATACTACCGGAAAGATCAGCAGTTTGAAGTCACTGGCATTCCACCTGAGAAAGATGATGCCATCTACTTCTACGATTCAGAGACTAGGAAACTCTCCAAAGCGACTCCACTCTGTCCTGAAGGGCTGTTAGGAGTTGGAATCTACTCGGCGGCAGTGGGATTTTATACGTGCCCATTCAGTGATTATTAGAATCTGCACATAATGCACTGACAGAACAGGGGTTTTCTTTAATTAGCTCAGCACTTCACCCATTTCTTATTTAAAATGAGGTGAACTAAAATACATAAATCTTGGACAGATCAAATTATTTCAATGACTCCAGGTAAAACAAGTTAAAGAGTATTCCTCTGTGGACAGACATTATTTAAGGTTCAGGGAGGTGGCTGCTTATGCAGCTCAAGTGGTGTTTCAAAGCAGATCTAGTATTCCTTTTGTGAACTGGGAGGTAAAGAGAATGCAGTCCAAGAAACGAATAACGACTGGGAACAGTGACCACATTAATTCGAATCTTCTGGGAGCAGGTAGGACGGTACTGTGATGCTTTTCTTTTTTTAAAGATCAAGAGGCAAACACCACATAGTAAATTAATGGAAGTCTAGGATTCTGAAGCTCCATCTGACATAATTTGGGCATGCTGCAAGAAGGGACTGGTCCTTGGAGAAGGACATCATGCTGGGAAGGATGGAGGGACAGCTCAAGAAAGAAGATCCTTGATGAGATGGATTGATTCTGTGGCTGGGATAATGGGCCCATGTGTGTCTGAGACAATGAGGTTGGCAGGGTTCAGAGCGGTTGTACATATGGTCACTATGAGTTGCAAGTGACTTGACAGCACATAACAACAACACACTGTGAATAACAGGACTTCAATGAGACAGTTTGGATTCTGATTTTATATATAGTTAGGCAACTAAAGAGATACAAGTGCCCAGATGGAAATGGAGAGCAAAAATACAACTGGCACATTCTAGGCACAGCAAAATGGAGCAGAATACCCAGGCAAAGACCACTATGTTACTCTTTAACTCTTGTTCCCACGGAGAAGAATAAATTCTCATTAGAAAACTACAACTTGGTTCCACTGCATCATGACCAAAGGTTTCTTTTATTTCCTTCTCATTCCTTTGTATCTGATCAAGAACCAGTGTTAATCAAGAATGAAGTTCAAGCTGCTCTGAAGGAAGCGGCAAAAAAACAAGGCCCCAGGAATTGATGGAATACCAAATGACATTTCAACAAACAGATGCAACCCTAGACGTGCTGACCAGGCTGCACCAAAAAATCTGGAGGACAGCTACCTGGCCAACCGACTAGAAGAGATCCACATCTGGGAGCTCTGGTGGCCTAGTGGCAAGGAGCTGCAACTACAATCCCAGAGGCACACGGTTCGAATCCACCAGATGCTCTGCCAGGAAAAGGAGGGACAATCTCCTCCTGTACCAGTCAGATCTGATTTGACGGTACATTCACACACACACACACACACACACACACACACACACACACACGAGATCCACATCTGTCTCATTAAAAAAAAATTATACACAAAATGTGGAAATTATCAAAGAATATCACTATTATCACATGTAAGCAAAATCTTGCTGAAGATGATCCAAAAATTAACAGTACACTGACAGAGCACTGCCAGAAAAACAAGCTGGTTTAGAAGAGGCTGCTGATGTCAGATGGATCTTGGCTGAAAGCAGAGTACCAGAAGGATGTCTATTTGTGTTTTATCGAATCTGCAAAGCCATTTGACTGTGTGAATCATGACAAAATGTGCCTAACAATGAGAAGAATGGGAATCTCAGAACATCTGACGTGCTCATGTGAAACCTATACCTAGACCAAGATGCCATTGTCTGAACAGAGAAAATGAATGCTGCATGGCTCAAAATCAAGACAGGAATGCATCAGGGATGTGTCCTTACTCTGTACCTTTTTAATCTATGTGCTGAACACATCATTCAAGAGGTTGGACTTTATAAAGAATGTGGCATCAGGATTGGAGGAAGATTCATCAACCTGCATTATGCAGATGACACAACCTTGCTCCCCAAAACTGAGGAGGACTTGAAGAGCTTGCCTCAGAAGGTCAAGGACTGCAGTCTTCAATATGGATTGCATCTCAACATTAAGAAAACAAAAGTCCTCACCACCAGGTCAAAAGACACCACCATGACTAAGAGATTTGTTAACGATTTCATCTTGCTTGGATCTACAATCAACACTCTTAGCATCGGCAGTAAGGAAATAAAAACACAAGTTGCATTAGGAAAATCTGCTGTCAGGGATCTCTCCAGAGTGCTAATGAGCAATGATGTCAATCTAGAGACTAAGATGTACCTGATTCAAGACAAAGTCTTAATTGCTTGCTATGCATCTGAGAGTTGGACAGTGACTAAAGATGACAGAAGAAGAATCAACGCCTTTGAGCTGTTGCTAAAGAAGAGTATTGAACATACTGAACACGTTGAACATGGACTGCCAAGAGAACAAGCAGGTCTATCCTGGAGAGTGAAACCAGGTTACTCCTTGGAGGCAAGGATTTTGAAACCCCGTCTCACATACTTTGGGCATATTGTCAGAAAAGGTCAGTCCTTGGAGAAAGACATACTTAGAAGGGGAGAAAGTCAGAGGAAGAGCCTGATTGAGGACTGACACAGTGACTATGGCAATGGAATCAAGTGTGTCAGAGACGGTGATATTGGCTTAGGATAGGTCAGTGGTCAGAGCCATTATTCATAGGGTTACCGTGAGTTGTAGTGAACTCAATGGCACATAACCACCACCACCACCACCACCAACACAGTGTCTCTATAAAGGTTTCCTAGTGGCATAGTCATGTTTAAATCCTAGTAAGATCTTATACTTTGAATTGCACCCTTTAACTGAAGAGCCTGCATGTTCTTCTCTATCACTGTGAAACCAGACATTATGCTTTCACATGAAGTTGTTCTACAATAAAGTGATTTGTTTTTTAATTATGGAGTGATGACTTTAATACAGGGTGTAAACATCACTTGGGAATAGTAACATTTTTTATTGAAATTCAGTCCATTTGAAGTAGAAATCACATTTTCAGCAGGATTATAAGAACCAGAGTTGAACAGGAACTCACTGGAGACCTACTCTACCTTCTTCAGCAAAGGCTACAAACATCAGGACATTTATAAATCTCCTATTTATGAGCTCAAAGACAGCCAGGATGGTGAACATGGTCTTCATTCTGTTGTATCTGGGTTTACTAGGAGTCAGAATGGACTCGATGACATCCAACAACAATACTGACACTTACAGATGCCTCCAAACTCAAACTCAAACTCAATGTCACCAAGTCACTTCAGGCTCCCAGCTTTCCTGCATCAGATTTCTGAGGCTGTAATTCCAGGGTGAAACGCCTCATCTTTCTCTTTCAGAGGAGCTGGTGGACTTGAACTGTCGACCTTTTGATTAACAGAGCAACATGGAATGCATTATGCCACCAGAGCTCCTCACAGATCCCTGTACCTCTATCTCTCTCACTGTTCCAACTCACTGCTGATCTGTCAGCAGGTTTTCCAGAGGCTATAAATCACACAGGAGGAGAATGCCAATCTTCCTCCCGCAGAACCATGGGTGGATTCAAATCTCCAGAGAGGTTTTGGGTTTAGCAGAACAACTTCCTACGGAGTATGCTACTAAACCCTAGGTGCAGGTAGCGTTCAACTGCTAACCTCAGCGTTGGCAGTTTGTGTCCACCCAGCGGCCCACAGAAGATACGCCTGATAATTTTACTTTACAGCCAGAAAACCCTACGAAGCAGGTCTATCCTGGAACATGGGGGTGGTGGGAGTTGGGAAACAATCAGCTGGCAGCTACCAGTGTCGCACTGAATATGCTCGTGATACTCACCATAGTCACAGAGCACCACCAACAATAGATTTGAAAAGTCTTTCAACATTTGTTTCATTCTGATCAGCAAAATCCCAGGTCTTTGATCTCCTCATGTCCTTTCTCACATCGGAATCACAGGGTTTTCTCCCAGGAGCACCTGAAATCAAAACCTTGAGAAATGATGGCTCTGTCCAAAGCTGTTCATAAAACAGTAACAACGAAATGACAAATCCACTCTAAACATGTAAATTCCCAAGGGTGGACTGGAAAAACAATTGTCTATTGGGTAATATGGAGAGGAAACCCTTCCACGAGGTGGACTGGCTCAATGACTGCAATGGACCCGAACGCAGTGTAGACCATGAGGGCAGCACAGGATCGGGTAAGGTTCATCTGTGGTTCACAGTGTCATCAGGAATCACAGGCATCTTTGCTGCATCGAACAACAACAGGGATAATGAAAGGAAAATGGCAGACCGATTCTCTGATCCAGAATCACACATGCCCTTTCATTCCGCTGTAGTTTTCACTCGTTAAGAACTTTCAAAAAGTGAACTCAACATCAAGATAATCATGCAGAACACCAAGCTTTATCGTGAATCCTTCGTGGTGAGTTTGTGGCTGTTTCATTTTCTTGAAGCCAATTCCCAGCCTGGATAACCCATTCTCTCTTTATTTATGCTTGACATTTCACAACTGACTGATTTGCTAAAGTCTTGCCAAACTTTCATTTCACATTGTCTTTTGCAACCACAAGCGCTCCCTGTCTTGCTTCTGTAAATAAGCTTATCATACAAAGTTGTCTCCACAAACCAGATATATTGTCTGAACTGTTTTCTTTTTCATCATGTCTACATCAAAGTCACTAAACCTTAAAAAAAAAAGGAAGGAAGGAGGACTTGGAGTGTTATAAATAAATATGATCTCCACATGGCCTGCAGTCCCTTCTTTGGGACAGTCTAAAGAAAGTACAGAGAGTGTTGAGGGTACCAGGGACTGCTAAGAAAACAAACAGATTCATCCTAGGGAGGGTTAAGCCGGGCTGCTCCTTGGAGGCAAGGATTCTGGGGCTTCGTCTGACATACTATGGTCATGCTGTAAGGAGAGACCGGTCCTTAAAGAGGGACATCATGTTTGGGAGGGTGGAAGGACAGCGCAGGAGAGAAAGGCCCTCTATGAGGTGGATTGATTCAGTGACTGGGATAATTGGGATGGGAGTGTCAGAGACAGTGCGACTGGCACATGATAAACAGGGTTTAGGGCTGTTGTACATAGGGTCGCTATGAGTCACAACGGCACATAACAACAACTCTTGTCAGTCATCCAATACCCGTTTCTGTGAGCGTGCTCTGAAGCGAAAGGACTCCTGCAGGACGCTTCTGAGACCACAAGGGAGGGCAGACCTGGGTTGCCTGTGGGTTCACAGTGGTTTGCGGTGACAGACCCTTAGTGGATCTAAACAGTTTCAAAGACTTTATATCATAGAATGATATTTAGGGCATTTAAACTAGGTTTTTCATTCTATAGTCTAATAGACTATGAGGCATAACCAAATATATTTTCACATGTAAATTTTCATTATTCATGGTAAATACATTTTTAATAAGCAAGTATATTATTTGGTAAATTTACGTAGGTTACTTCCCTGCAAATACAGGTAGAGATTAATGAAATTAAGAGGATGAATTGTAATAACCCAAAAGTCACTAAAAAGGAAACGAGTGTTTCTCTATTAACTTTCTTTCAATAAGAGTTGATTCAACAAAGGAAATACTGTACTTCCTTCAAAGGGAAGCGGAGATTTGCAGTGCAATTATACTGACAATTACGGCATATCTCCCTCTCTCCTCCTCTCTCCCTCCCCCCCCCTCTCTCTCTCTCTCTCTCACACACACACACACACACACACACACACACACACTCTCAGCTTTGCTAGAATTGGCCATCGATTTGAACCAATCCTTTTCTTGCACCTGGATATGGAAACTGGGACAAAAACCGAGTATGGGTGCATATGCAGTGGACAGTGAGCCCTCGCAGAAAACAACCTATCTCCATTTACAAGTGTGGATTCTCAGAGCCATTAAAATGCTTCCTTTATAGTCACTGATAATCAATAACCAAAACAAAAGGAAGATACAAGCAATCCCTAATTCCCAGAGCTGAAGTGGCTTTTCCCAAATTGATCACCACCTTTAAGGGATGCCCTTAACCATAACCATTAGGTGGTTATCACAGATTTTCTTTCTGTATGAACATGCCAAAAACATACAACTATGCGACAATCTAGATTTACAGTACTTTGTAAGCCAAATGGAAATGAAATGACAAATCAACTTCCTTCCTGTAAAGAAAAACACGGATTAAAAAAAAAAAATAAAAGATTCCCAGGCTTAAAAAACAAATGTGGACTTAAAGTTGATTGTTGTTGTTATGTGCCATCAAGATGATTAGGCAATGTAATTAATTAATCAATAACATTATAAATAAAATGTCTATGAATGCCCAGATGAAAACCCCGTATGATTAGAAAACTTTCACTTAAATAAAAAGAAACAGTTCTACTAAAAAAGGGTGAAAATGTAAATTTTACTAGCTCCACTAATTCCAAGAGCAGAGCCACCCCAGATGGGAATGAAATACTAAATAACAACATTTTCTTCTTTTTTATATATAAAAAAGACAAACCACAAATTAAAAAAGTTTATTTTCTTTCAAATTAGTGTTCCTGACACCACCACAAGCCAGTTATAATGTTGGCTTAAAAATAATTTTAACAACTTAGGTATATTCTGGACACATATAAAAATATTTCTCTACAACATTCATACATATTTACAGAAAATTTTTTAAAGTGTCAGCTGAACGGCGGAGTGGGGGGAAAGTGTTGTGATAGCCAAGTGCACCCCACTCAATTCTGATCCCACATGTCCCTAAGACTTGTCAAAAAAGGAGAAAAGTTTAAAAAGATGTTAAGTGTTTTCGTCCCTTCGGACAAAATATGCTGGGTATTTAAAACAGATTTTTCATCTTAGAATCTAGTAGATTCTAACACACATACATGCTGGGTACAAATTATATCTTAGGGAGGGAATTTTCAATCCCAAATAGACTCTTATTCCGACGTCTGGTCGCACTTGCCCACCCTAGTCCCCGGGCTTGGTGCCGCGTCCCCGGGCGCAGAGCGCGCGCCCCATCTACTCATCTTGGAAACTCTCACCTGGCTCGTGTCGGATGAGAACTCTGGAAATAAGCCTTGGGGCTGGAATCCCTTCACACAGCAATGTTCATGGAAACGGTTTTCCCAGCGCCCCACGCCCGCGCCGGGGAAGCCGCGCGCAGGAGCAGCCGGGGATCCGGGCACGTCTCGGTCCTCGGGCCGCGCTCCTTCCCTCGCGGGACGCACGGCGAGCGCGCGGGGCGGTCAGGCAGGCGGCGCGCGGAGCCGAGG